AGAATCAACACCATTATTCACTTCATGCTTTGGTTTTTCTCTGTGCAACATACAGAGAAACAGAATTGCAATAACCCTCGATATCCATGCGGAACTGATATACACTGAGCGGGGGCGGAGATGTGCCTCTCTCTTCAGTTTCAGAGAGAAACCACCTGTTCAGGTCACAAGGTTCCTCTGGATAAATCTCCATCCTCTTTTGGCATATTTCCACAAAACCTCACCAATATAAAAACAAAAGAGAAGTAAAGTCCATCACAGTTCCACGGTACACAGACGGGTTGTTATATTTGTCACATTCACGTTTTGCATTATTAGATGTTTGCATGATGAAACACCATAGAAAGGGCAGAAAATTTGGTAACCTTCATAATCTTATTAGAGTAAATAATTACAAACACTTCTCAGAGGAACATGATTTGTAAAGAACATCTGCCAAATAGCTCCTTGTCTTCCTATAGTCGTAATTAACCTTCATTAGTTTGGGATGGGAAGAGGTATCTCCTGCTTTTCTGCTATTCGTACTCAAAGATGGATGCTGGGAACTTAGAGAAGTTCCTGGGAGCAGTGAATCCACACTGGTATGAGATCAAAGTCACTAGGCTCCACAAGCTGACAAAGATCAGGCTTCACAGTAGGTGAGAGAGGAGAATTGGACGGCTTGCAGTTGGCTACCTGCGGCTCATGGTGGGAGTTAAAAATATGGCTGTGTCCCTTTGGGAAGCAGCAGGATCCACCGAAGCTCAGGGTGCTAAAGGAGCCTCTAATATAGGGGGAGTTTAAAAAGTCTAAAGGCTGTTGTCATTTTTGGAGCCACCCTGCAGAGCTAGGCTCAGTGGCATGGCAAAACAAAACAAAAACACCCATTGAACAGAAAGACATGAAAAAGTCACAAATTGTAACCAACCATAATCTCTCCCCTCTAGAGGGCTTTTTCTGACTTGGATCTGGGGGATCGCTAGCCACCAAGAAGGAGAAGTGATCTGAAAGGGAAATGGAAGGGGTGCTACCTTGTTTCAACACCAATTGGATGTAATCTCAGGAACATTCATGTGCAGTCACTATACAGTAGTCGCTGTTTTGGTGCTTTTCAGACAAAACACTGGGGGAAACACTACCATTTAGAAGAAATGAAGTCTGAGGGCTCTGGCCTGCTAATAAGAAGCTTCTTTTACCTCATGGCCTCATCCTCATGCTTCCATCACGGCAGAGTCTGCATCAAACTGGCATTTGCAGTGGCCAACATGAGCAGCCTGTGTTTTCTTATTTTTGTTATTTTTCAGAGGATATTTTAGCGCTAAATGCATTCCCTTCTGTTGCCATGGCAGCCGTGACAGGGGTTATATACCGTGAGAAAAATACCAAAATTAATGAGTGAGTGAAAGTGCAGTAGAGAGAAAAACAAGGTTAAAAAAAAGAGTTAAAACAGTAATAAAAACAACCTCTAGATAATTTGGCAGCTTGCATCCTGCAGGCAAGGGAAGCAGAGAGAGAGAGAGAGAGAGAGAGACCTTTCCAGGAAGAACAAGTATCATGGCCTCCATCAAAAGCCCACTGCCACAAAAATGACAGCTACACAAGAATAATACATTCTTGATTCCACCCTAATATGTGGGTGATGCTTCGTGGCAACCCAAATAAGCACAAAACATTTGCTCCCGAGCACCCATCCTAACACTTGCGATCGTCTTGTGCCCATCTGACTACAGTATGGTTTCAGGATTATGATTGCTTTGCAGCCACACCCCAAAACACACGTAAATGTCAGCAGAGGCCTTTTCATCTGAGGCCCCCAAACAGACTGACCCATCAGAATGAAAAATTTGTACCTTAACCCTGAGATGAGAATCTTAATCAGCATCTCTGGGTCAGCACTCTGCCTTTACGCAAACATCTCAAAATCATCATGTCTCGTCTTTTCCCCCTTCCCCCATGTAAAGTTTATACTCTTAAGCCCCCTCGGCAGTGTTTCCTTATTTGTGCACCCAGCACTGTTGATATTATAAATTCTTAACAACAGCCAGATGGGCCAGACATCAGCAGATCTTCCCAGTTGTGCCTCAGATATTATTAGGATCTGGCTTGAAAAATCCAGATTAAGCTCTGGATCTATGGAGGTACCCAGACTCTGCCATGTATGCCCCTCCCCATCTTTGTTCCTCCTTTTATTTGTTTTCAGGAGCAATACTACACAAGGGAGGAGAAAATGCCTGCGAGTCTTTCATGTTGCTCATTTCCTCATGTTTGTTTTTCAGTGTCTTTTGTTTTTAATTGTAGGAAGGGGAGAATTGTCAGAACATCTGTGTTATTAGCATTAGCTGCCCAAATCCTCTCTGTTTCCCCCCCGTCCCTCCTCCCCTTCTCCTGTGGAGCCCAGAGCTGATGAGTGAGAGAACAGAAGAGCCTTTGAACTGCTCACAGCAGACAGCAGCCAGGTTTATAGCATTTGTGCAGGGGTGGGGGGGGTAGGATTATTTATTCTCGTGTAGGGTTCACTTGCTTTTCTTCTTTTCCTTTCTTTTTTTCTTTCTTTTTGCTTTGCCCAACGTTTATCTGGACATTTTCTCCTCATGGTCTTTGTTCTCCCCCCCCCCCGACGCCCACTGGTACACAGGGCAGTTGTCTCTCTATGGGATGTGCCACAGAAAGGGTTGGCCTGGAGCATTCTGTACCGTGTTAGGCCCCTAGTGTCCTTTCACAGATGGAGAAACAAAAAAACTATGTCTCTTTGAGGGAGACAGAACAATTATGAGAGTCACTCTTGATCTGACAATCTGCATCACCTACACTTCTCTTGTGCTGATTGTTTTCCTTCCTCGAACACACTAGAGAGAAAGCTGAAGGAACAGCTGCAGGACTTCCCTGATCCAGTCAGGAGCAGCTTTGCCGCAAGGCAAGGGGAGACAAGCATTTCGGGGGGGGGGGGGGCAATTCAAGATTACCATACAGCTTCATCAAGATGTGCAAAGTGAGAGACACGTGTCACCCTAGAACAGCACACAAAACCTGAATAGAAGAAAATGTCATAATCCTTATTGGGGTTTAAAAAAAATATGTTTTTATTAAGCCACCTTAAAGGTCACAAAATAATGTGCATGCTTCCAAGTGTTTTAGAACTCTTCATCAGACCAGGTGGTTAAAAAAAAGGAAAATGACAAAAATTGCGGAAGGAGGTAACCCTTTTCCATAACCTTTGAGACAATAACCCTTGGACACTGCTGACATCACCAGAGTACCCAGTACAGCCTAATTGAAATATCTACAGCCTACACCCACTTCTTCTCACATCTTGCTTTGTTTTCTGTCATCATACCTGATAGTTCTGAAGAAGTTGAAGACCTGCACAATGTACTCTGATTTTGAAGTGCCCCCCCAAAAGGATAATATCCTAACTTAGATTTTGGAATTGCATGGTAATTAATTAATGGGAGGTAGGTTGCAACTTGACTTTTCTGCCTTAGGAACTGGGATAGCCTTAATCTTGTCCAAGAACCGGTACCAAATACAGGGCAGCCCTGAAGTCACACAAACAACCCTAATTCTACAAAGAACAGAGAGCTGGGTAGAGATTTGGGTCCTGACAGTCAATATCCTTGATTCAGTCTCCTGTAAGTCTTGCATATCAAACTCAAGATGATAAAATTCTGGGCATATTTTTTTTTTTTGTCTCAACGTCCAGCTGTACTGGTAAGAGAACCTTTCCTCAGCCATGCAGGTGTGGCCTTGCACCAGTTGCCTGGGTATTTTATGCAAACAAAGCTTTGCATGTCCACCTGTAAAATAAACAGTGCAAAGTCATTTGTTGCTGGGTTGGCACTTGTGCAATTCCCACATGGAGTCAACTAGATTTGCAGCTGTGGTGGGAACCTTTGAAAGTGTCATCTAATGAAGGCTTCCCCTCAGGAGTGACTAGGCAAAGGAGGAAATCAAACTAAAAATTAGTCAGACTAAAAATCATAATGTTAAATAAATGGCCTTTCCCCTGTTCCTTCTTAAATAAGTGTATTAGTCATAACGGTGCTAAAAGACTTTCTCTGGTAAAATCTTCACTGGCTGATTCTCCACTATACACACCCACCCCAAACCAGGAAATGTAAGGCTTTGTTTGCATCTTAATTTTTGAAACAGAAGGAAAAATAAACATCACTCCAAACAGGTGGTAGGAGTGGAAAGGCCTGGATTAAGCAAGCGATGGTGGATTAGCCTGGAGTGATGTGTAGGAGCAACAGGAACTCTTTAAGAGCCTCTGCTTTGAGGGAGGGGGGGAAAGAAGGTCTTTTGATAAGAAATTCACATTCAAGGCTCCTCTCCCCGCCAGAGGATGCAGAGGAATTAGTCCACCCATCCTCCGAGCCCGACGACAAGGCGTCGGATTCACATAAAGCCAGCCATTTCAATGGAAGACAAAGTAGCCTCTAGATGGTGCAACGAGTTATGGAAGGAGGCTCGAGCTTGTACTGTATGGTGAAAGAAGGCAAGGCGGCGGTGCGGTGCAACAGGTTCACAGAACTCGGGAGGAAGCCAACAATTTCTAGAGCCCACCTTTTTAAATCAAGGCAGCTCTCCACTTGATCTATTCCCGGTAGGGACCGTTTTTTGTTTTTTAGAGCTTGCAGGGCAGCCCATAGGATCGTGGCCCTTCTTCCTCATCCTTGCTTATCTGGAGGGCAACAGACAACCCTGCCTTGCCCGGGCTGTCGCCACAAGGCACCCCCGACCTGCTCAACGGCCAGGATTCGACCGAGCTCGCTAGCTCGGAACTGGGAGCAGCCGGCTGAATATTAATGACTGTTCAGTCTTTGGCAAAAAACCCAGAATCCAGCTTGAAAATCCGGGGAACTGGCAACCAGCGGCCTCGCTTCTTAAAGGTACAGAGAAGCGCGGGCTCGCCTCTCGTCCCCCAGGGTGGGCGTGCTGTGCTGACTACGAGCGTTCAAGGATGCGCTGGCACGGGACGATGGTTGGGGCATCTCGGCCCAAGTTGCCCCGAGAATCGCTCCCGCGCCCCCCCCCCAAAACTAGAAGCCTGCCCCACGACAGCGGGGGCTTCGTCTGCACAATTCCTACTCCCTTCATCGCTGCCGCTGCTCGTCGTCACAGCCGGCTCGCAGAAACCTGCGGGCTCCCCCTCCGTGTAAACTGGTCTGCTTTTCCTGCGGGACGACGAAAACGCCTCAGCGTCGTCCCGCGGCAACCTGGCCCCGGCTGCCGTCGTGGCCGCTGAGGGGAAAGGCCCGGGAAGGTGCAGGTGCTCCACTTCCACTGCGCCCCCCCCCAGCAGGTGTAGCAAAAGGCAGCGGGTGACTCACCGGAACCACCAGCTGGGGGGGGGGGAAGGGGGCGGAGAGGGGGGAAGGGAGCGAAATGGTCATGCCTTGGCCCGGGGGCAGGGTTTGCCAAGGTCAGCGTGAGTCACATGGTGACTGGAGCCCTCATGTATGGAAAACGGGTGGAGTGGGGAGGGGAAGAGAGGTGGGGAGGGAGAGAGAGAAAGAGTCCGTGGCTGGAGCCGAGAGGCTTGCTCCATGAGGGAAGACAGGTCTCGCGCTCCTCTCCCCCACCACCACCACCACCTCCCCTCCACGGTAGTTTGGGCAGTAGGCCTCGCGTGCCCCTAGCGGCAGCGCCGGATGCCTCGGGTGCCCGCCGCACTAGTGCGCGCACAGGCGAGCGGGGCTCCTCCTCCTCCTCCTCCTGCTCCTGCTGCCGGGCGCCGCGCAGAGCTTCCATGCCGGTGGGTGCAAGCGCGCGACCTCGTGGCTCGGGCAGCGGCAGCAGCTGACAGTCAATCAACTTCTCAGTTGCCAGCCGGGGAGGCAGGCGGCTCGCAGCGGGCGCTGCAAATTTCCCGGCGGCTGGTGCGGTTGGCTGAACGGGAAGAGGAGCCGGCGATCGTGGGGCTGTGAACTTGCCAGGCAAGTAAATGGCTGCGAAGTCGGCGGCCGCGGAGTGGAGGGTGGGGTGGGTGGAAGCCACGGGCGCACACACGGAATTGGCGACCGGGGACTGTGGCCCACAGTGGGCTACGCGCACTGGGAGTCGAGCCAGGACCAGGCGGTTCGCACTGCGGCTGGCTGGCGGTGCGGGGCCGCTCTTCCGTCCGCGTTCCCGGCCATTTCGGGAGAGCTGCCCATTGCCCGCTCTGCAGCAGCATCAACCTGCCAGCCGGCGATGCCTCCGCGGGAGCTGGAGGAGGCTCTTTGCCCATCGCTGCCGGCGAAGAGGAGAGCGCGGCTGGAGGAGACCTTTGCCGGCCCGGCCCGTTTTAGTGTAAACACACTGGCAGCTCCTCGGGCGAGGCAGGCGAGGCTGGCCCGGGTGGCTGTTGCCGCCGCCTCGGTCGCCGCTCCCGCAGCCTCTTGGTTGGGCGCAACGCAAGATAAGGCGCCGGACCTCCACCTCTCCTCTGGCAGCGCCGACGAAGTAGCAGCGAGGAGGAGGAAGAGGAGGAGGCAGGGCGGGCAGGCGGG